TTCGTTATGCAAAGCTCAATTAGAAGGCCCCGACAGGTATTCATTCAATAATCCAGTACACCGACACATAGATTTATCCATCCTCCCAATTGGAAAAGTAAGGCTGTCTGAACCGTCATAGAGTAGGCAACGCGAAACATTCCGGATAAGAATGCTAAAACTAGTCAGGAACTCCCTTTGACCTCTCCTCCCTTTCCTAGTCCATGCTCCCCCCATTTTCTTTCTCCGACACATTCTACCTTTGGCTTTTGTCGTTAAACGACCCAACTTTGTGCTTCACCCTTATACTTCCTTCTTGTAACCCTCACCTTTTCTAATCGTATTCTCATTTTAATGACCCGATATTATACTTTTTTATCTCACGCGCCTTCTCTTCTAGTTGATATTTCTTTCCCTCCCATTTATTCTAGTTGTTCGCGCATTTTATCTCCTCTATATTCTTGGCATTTTTTATTCACTTATATTTTCGACCAGATTTTTCACTCTCTGAGAAAGGAGACGTTACGCTTCCGAATCATTGAATTTACTCCCCCTCTTTTTTCTTATATACTGACCGGTTGTGAGTGTCCCTGTGCTTCCCTTTATTTTACTTTCATTCACCGTATCTATGTGAATGCCGGTCGTGAGGAAGAAAACAGTTTTGTGGGGTTTTTTTCTGTCTATATTGATTTTAGGAGTGACTTCGATGGCGGGATATTAGTGGAACAGCTCAGAAAGGGATAGAACAAATTTAATTCTCATCACTGGAATGCAGAAAATGGCTCCCATTTATTGATAGAGTTCAAACATATGGAGCTATTACAAGGAATTATTCAAGAAGTATATATATGGAATGTCCAAGTTTAATATAAGTTACTGTAAAGAACACAAGGTAATGGTAACTGATGAACGTATTCCCCCTAGAGGAAAATGGGAAAACCACTCAATTCTTTATCTTAAAAAAATTATTTTCCTGAAAACCCCTTAATTAATGGGTCACCATATGCTGGGATATAGAGACAGTAAGAAATACTGTAAAATAAGATTATATTGCAACTTCAATATGTGCACTGCATACATTGAAGTTGCATTGCCTGCATGAAATACATTAATTTCCCACTTTGTCATGACAATATGCAAAACTAATTTAATGAGGTGTAATAGTATAGTTAAATATGTTCCAATACAGACACATGGACCTTTTAAATAATGTATGAATGGGAAAAAAGTTGTAAATTGAGGTAAATACAGCTTCATTCTGTACCAAAAGTATTCACAGGTTATATTCTCTAAAATTTTCATTGCAGCCATGTCATCAGCCATGCCAAACTACAAAATACCCATATACATCGCACATAGTTAATTTGGTTCTATGTGAAAATTGAAAGAAACTTGGGATGAAATGTAAGGGGAACTCCCTTTCCCCCTCCCACCCTCAATTTACCTTCTTTTTTTTTTACCCAAAACTTGATTTAATGAACATATGTGGGATCACTCACTTTACATTAATAAATGATGGATGTAGCTGCAGAATTGATTACTGAGTTTTACACTATTGGCAAATAATTGCAGCGAAGATGTTTATTCTCTTCACACATGAACATATGTGCAATTTTCCAATGTTGCCGGAAACAATCCTTTTGCAAGATGAATCCCGCATGTTTTAATCCAGTCTCTACACAGTCTGGTTGGATATAGCATAGAAAGTTCTTCTTTATGATTCTAAAGGAGCAAACATCATTCTTAGAAGATTATATGACTTAGAAGAGTGTAAAAGATGACGTAAGATGAAGAAATGAGACACTTACTGAATTTTGGAAGTCAAATGCCACTGATGAGTGAGCAGCTCTCACCTAAAGAAGAAAACAGGCCTGGATTAAGCAAGTAACCTGGTCAAAATAAAATTTAAAGCTTAAACTCAAAGTGGACGTAATTCCAGAGCAAAAGTTATCTATAGGTCAATAAGTACCATATGTTTACATGAACCGAATTATTTCCTCTTAGACTCTGGCCTATATTGACCATGGTCTTTGAGAAAGCAAAATCCGTTTTTGTAAGGTGAAACCTTAGGCCTAAATACTCGCCCAGAGTTGCCTACAATGTTTTCATTTAAAAAATTATTATCCATATGGGGAGACCGCCATTTAAAGCTTCGCCATTAATAACGTTCATTCATACGGCTTTTTATTTCCAAATTCATTATTGGAAAAGCTGAAGCGAGAAAGAATTATATAAAACTCATTCCTCACCCACCAGCATTAAAAACTGGTTTTTTTTTTCAGGCAGATGTCAGCCCTGTATTCTGATTCCCTTTCAAGCAGCGTAAAAACATAAACTCTGCTCCGATAGTCATGATATTTATATAAACTACGGTGGGCCAAGGTTAGAGTAGGCATTTGGTTTTGAATCACTGAGGTCTTTGTCCTCACCCTTGAGAAAATTATTTTCATTGTGAAAATAACTAATAGCCCTCAATTTTGCAAAGTAGCGTAGCCAATTTTGGTATGGCATATTCTTACTCCTAAAGTATAATTCATTTTTGGTGTATTTAATAGATTTCTATTTTTGCTGGCGGAAAAATTTATTTGGAAAAGCTACCCGCGAAAAGCTGTGCTCTCAGGAAACGCACAAAAACGTAGAATTTTACCTTAAATGAACATCACGTCCGTTATGCGTGCGCCAACTACTTTTCTATTTCTGCCCGATTCGGTAGGACATGAAAAATTCCTCGAAAACGTTTCGTCCCCAATAAATATGAACCTCATAAAATATTTTGGATATTTGATATTTGAGCTTAGTGCGTCAACGGTCATGTTCTTCCCAAGTTTCAGCTTTTAATGTGTCTCCACTTGATTGAAACAGAAGTATTTGAAAATATGTTCCCAGAAAGATATGCCCCTATTGCATGTATCACCAAAGTATATCTTTTCCTGAACTCAGCAGGTGAATATCTACTTATGTCAGTCAGCTTCTCACGATCGTCTATATATAATGAAAGTAAATTTTTTTTCTTTACTCAGCTATCCATCAGGTACTTTGCCTAGGTTAAACTTTCATGCGCCCTCTGTTTTGCTGGATCAGAAAATTCGTGAAAATACGCATTGTGCATTATATTTGCCCTGAGCCGTTTTAACCGAAAAGTACCTCTTTTTTATTGAAATCCATCCTCAGTGAACTACATGCCCGCAAAGTTTCAATATCACATTTGCCCTTTTGGCTGGTGAAAAAATATGCTTGGAAAAGCCGACCCTCAAAAAAGCTATGCCCGGAGGGGATGCCCCATGATAGCAGAATACTCCCTCAGCTCAGTAATATCATGTCACTTATACTTTGTAACACTAGGCACATTCATGCAAAGTTTTAGCTTTCCATGTTAATCAGTTTTACTGATGTAAAAAAAATACTTGAAAATAATCTCCCTTTGAAATTTGTGCCCCAGGACATTTATTTCTTAAGTCTGAATTTCTTTTGCAGCATCCTAATAGGTAGTCATGTACCAAGTTTCATCTTTACACACTAACTCAATACACCTGTACAAAAAAATACTGTCGGCCCCAAAAAATATCACACAGGGCATGGATCTAAAATGTTGCGTTTTTCCTGATCTCATCGTCTCGGTAGGCACCTCCATGCCAGGTTTCAGATTTCTATGTCTCTCCGTTTTACTCAAACAAAAATAATGTTATGGAGGGGGAATGTGTAACGGGGCATGGAAGACAAAAGAAGCCAAACGAAAGCCAAGGAATGGCTGGGAATTGAACCCAGACCTTCTGATCGCCGGTCAGATATGCAACCGCTACAGGAACCCCGAACCCCGGACATTTAGTTGGCTCTTTGAATGCCATTCTTATCTGTCACAAAAAATATTTAAGAAAAACGTTTCCACCAACCCAGAGTTTCCCAGAGTACTCCCAGAGTATGTACCTCCAAATTAGGATTTTTTTTCTGAATTCTGCATCCAAAAAGGTACATGTGTACCAATTTTCAGATTTGTAACTTCTCTGGAACATGGTTAGAATTAGCGTCAGTCAGTCAGTCAGTCAAGATCGCTTATATATATTAGATTTTCTTGACCACCCACGAAAATAATGATTTCCATTTATGTCCATTCTATACGTATTTACATGGAGATGAAACGAATTTCGACTGAAATCCGTATGGCGTCAACGCCTCCCAGGCGCCGGATCGGAGGCGATGTCGTTGAGCTCTTTATCTCGTTTCTGCACATCGCTTCACGATCGTGCCCGTTCCTCACGTCACGGAGATCGATTGCGGCCGGCAAATTCCGGATCGCGCGCATAGCACTTATTCGCGTCCTTCTAATTTCCGAGTCTTTCTTTTTCATTTTCTCATTCGAGGCATCAATACTTGTGGCTCCCTGTAACAATCAAGTTGCACCACGAAGCCATTTGCGCATGCGCGCGGATTGATACGAATGTGGCGCCTCTCGAGAAGCCGCAGTCTTTTAGTACCTGAGAACCAAAGATGGAATTCTTCACGTTTCACGACGGTCTTCTGGCTTTCGGAGTTCCTCGTTTGATTACGAAGCCATTTGACTCCCTGCAAATACATGCCCACTATATTACAACATGGAAAGTCAAGGAAATATATTTATTATAATAATGGGCTTTCGATTAGTTGGGTGTGATTAAAATTTACCATGTACTCGATTTCGAAATTGGGGGTCGCAAGCTTTTGGCTTCCGTGAAATGGGGGCGTGGACCCAAAAAGGTTGAGAACCGCTAAACTAGTGGTTTGGACAGTAAAGAAAATAAGCTGAATGGTCGCTTTATCATAGGGATACAATGGGGGTGGTACAATGAAGGGGATTTATTCTTGGACTCGGCAAGGAAAAGTAAAAGTTTATATGCTAATGCATAACTATCGGCCACCTGGTCTGTCACGTCACCGTCAATTGACGGTGCTAGCTTGCAATGCCTAGGATTCATTCTATATGTAGGATTAAAATGTATTTAATTTGATCAATTCTGTGCCTGAATTCCGAATTGAATTGAAATGCTTCAACAGTTCTCGGGCAAACGTTTTCTCAACGAGGGCACGACCATTGTCAGAGGGGTAGGTGGGGGAGGGGGTTCCTTCACTTCACGATTCACCAGATCGCACTCACCCAAAACTCCAGAAGCGCCGAGTTTGAGGGGCGACTGATTGACTTTGTTGACTGATATTCCGTATGTAGAGTACCTGCTGTTAAGCATTTCACGTCGTCATAGGTGCATTATGGGGCGTTATAACCCGACAATCATCATCTATGTGGATGCGTCTTGATTATTCGCTTCAGAGCGATGTCAGTAGGACATTATTTTTCCAGAAAAATGAGAAAACTGCAATGGAATACAGTAATGTCTCTAGCCAACCGATTTATTATTATTATTATTATTATTATTATTATTATTATTATTATTATTGGAGGAGAATTCTCGTGGCTGAATGGTTGCGGCTCTCATATCGAAATCACCATTCACAGCAAAAAACACAATAAGGTTTTCTACAGCAATCGCAGCAAAATCTGCACGGAGGCCTCGCCTTGCACTGATTGCATTTGCAGGCTTTGCTTCCGGTTTCACCAATGCAATCTCCCATTCCGCAATTTCGACTCTTGCAAAAGGCGGTGCACCCTTCGCTCCCCACGTCGCAGACGCTGGCGCCGGCGCTTCCCCACAGGGCGACCAGGGCCAGCATCGTCGACAGGGTGAGCGTGATGATCCGTGCGCTTCCCATCTTCTCGAGAGCTGCAACGAAACACCCGCATGGAAATTTCCAGGCATTCCGAGGACGACTGCGAACATTCGTCCATAATGGCGGTGTAATACAAGTTTCTCAAGAAAACGTTTTGTCATGGACGGTTTCATCGAAGAGACGACTTTTCAGAATAAAGAGCATATTAATGCCATCATTGTCTTTTTCAAATGTTTCATTGCAATAGTCGTTAAATAGGTCTCTCCCAAGCCGGAGTTTCGGAAGCCACCAAACAAACGTTTCAGGCTTGCGCTAACGTACATTGACTACGATGAAGAACGGCATGCCTTCCCATAATAAATTCGAAAATCGATGGGAGAAGAGCTCACCTGAGATGCAAGGAAAGCCGGACACCGGGCAATCCGAATGAATTGCTTTAATTTGATTTATAAATTCACGGTCGAAACCTAGCCCTTCCACTTCGAAGGAACGACTCATGGACTCATTCAAATTAGTAAGACAGAAATAAAAACTGCAGACCCGTATTGAATATCCAGTCGAAGAAACAGCCAGCAGGTGAATCGGAGGAATGTTCAGCTCGAGGAGGCAGCAGTGGAACTGACGTGACGGGTGGCCAGGTCGAGGCCTTATACAGTGCGGAGCAGCCTTCAACCCTTGGCATTTCGTCTGCGCCAGGTCTCATCGCTTTCATCGCTACGTCGCACGGAATTACTCATTTTTTTTCGGTGCGGGTTTCCTCGCTGGTGCGCGGAGCGTGTGGATCTGGTTGATGTTGACTACGAATCAAATACTGTATACTGGGTGGTAATAAGTGAATTCAGGTATTTAATATTGGCTCATGTTTTGTCTCCTTGCAGGAGTCATTCATCGGAGTGTAAAATTTAAAAAAGGCAGCCACGTATGATAGAAAGATGATTTTGTAGAAGCACAAAAGCCCTGATGCTTGTTCCCTCGACATCCTTCAACCAGCACTTAATTCGACCAGAATGGCCTGGACCCCTACCTCGTTGCAAAACAACTAAAAAAGGTATCAACACATTCCATGAATGCTACAACGAAGCAGAATTCATTCATTGGGACGGCACGTCAAGATTCCACTAGTAGCAAGAGAAAATTAAAAAAAAATTATTTGTTCACACTTGTAGGCCCATGCCCAACGTTCGGTATAAGGATATGTCCCGTGGTCCACAAGCATCTTGAGGCAGGGCCTAACGGATACCTCGCTCCACCTTGAGTCGGCCACATCCAATAAATGCTCAAGTTGTCAAAAATGTTGCGGTGAACCGTTCAAATCACCTCTCCGTTTCCAGGTCGAGCTCCTTTAAGTCAGGGAATCTCATTCTAAAATGAGCAGGAATGAAAAAGTGCCTACACCAGCTGCATCCGCGCACACTTCCACGCTTCTCGATGAGTACTTATTATAAGCTCTTACCGTGAAATTCACGTTGCGATGAGGCGTACTAGTTGTTGATTGGGAGGCGAAGAAAATTCTCAATTTTCCGTAATGGCTGTTCCCTCCTGGGACTTTGGTAGAATGAGCCTGCCATTTTCCAAACTGCGAGATCGGGAATTGCGTCACTTGCCTTTGCACAGTAACGCAGAGATGAGAATGTCGAAGAAAGCAATGTTCTTCAGAGGTCCATGAAGATACGCGTGAATGCAAATTCAATGCAAATAATAATGGAATGAATCTGGGAAAGGAGCAGCATCACATGCACGAAAACATTTTTTATTCTTGAAGGTTCTTCTCGGCGGGATCGCGCCTCATCGAAACCGGAACGAACAACAGACCCCGCACGTCCTCCGTCCCCAACCGCAGCAGTTGCAGCAACATCTTCACATCCCAGCCTTGCATCGACTGCACTTGCAAACCCCGCCGTCGCAGACACCGCCGTCGCAGCCGCGAAGTCTGCGGCGCAGGCGTCGCTCCCGTCGTCGCAGGGGTCGGCGCCGCCCGCCTCAGCGAACAAGTCAGGCCTGGATGGAATCGGCGCGGTCAAGATTGGCCTCTGCAATCCGTGAAACACTTTTTTGGAAATCAGAAGAAAAAAAGCGAAAAGAAGGCAGCACAGGAAGTCCTCTCTTCGGGGAACCGCGTTCCATCGATCCATCGACGAGTTAGCGGGCAAGAGACGGCAAGTCCACGTTTCCCGCGAAAAATCGTGTCCATTCTAAACGAAAATTCCTCGGGAAAAAAGGCAAAAAGGTTTGTCGAAGGAGGTTTTCGGACGGATGCACTCTCGAATGCCGGTGAACCAGCGCGACGATTCTCAGCGCTCTGCCTTCGGTTTGGAGGTTCACGTGCCGAGCCGCCGAGAGCCACGAAGTGACATGTGACGAAGTGACATGTGACGAAGTGACATGTGACGAAGTGACATGTGACGAAGTGACATGTTTTGCGGTCTTCGAGGCGGTTCTAATACGTGCTTGCGAACCAGTTGAAATGAGAGGACGGAAAAGCGAAATGCTTTCATTCGCGAATGTGCTCGAATTATCGAAAAAAGCTCGTTTGCATTTCCACATCAGGGATTTGCTGATTGATAAGGTAAACATTTGCGGATATGAGGAAAAACGCTTCCAGAGTCCATCCCCCGCGTATGGACTCCATAAAACGGCTGTGCAAATGCATCGCGTTAATGGGCTCCTGCATTTCGTTCGAGTCATCGGAGCAACAGATGCAACGGGAGCGGGGCCTGCGAAACCGCGTTCTTCGTCCCGTTAGACTGCTTATAGCCATTGAATGACAGGATTTAAATGACATGAAATTACAGCAAATCCATGCCGCGGATATTTAGTCACTCCAATCGGCCCACAAGCCACGTCCGAGGCCGAATCGGCACAGCCTCCTCCATCCCATCGAGAGGCAATGGCGGCGGGAAAGGTGAGCAAGTTTGAAACATTTTTGCGGCGCGATCGACCGATCGCGCGAAAAAGGGAGACGTTTTGGGGTCACAATCAGCGGATTCACCGACCGTTACTGATTGGTCGTAATTGGTTGATCGTTATTTTCGATTAAATCCATTGAGAATTCTTCGGCGTGTTGCTCGAAGCTAATGTGGAAAAGCACGAGGCTCAATGTCGGATTGGGCAAGGGAATTTAATTTACTGGTATGAAATCCGCGCCTGAGATTTTCAAAGGCATTTCTTCTTTTCAAGTAAATTTCTAATGAAATTTTTCCAGCTGGAAATCCAAATTGCCCGGAGACCTTCAATGATCGAATACGGCTCTCGGACGACAGGCTGAGTCGTGTCGTGCAGAACGAATCGCGCAAATGCGAAATTTTGGGGGTTTTGAGATTATCTCAAATTTATTCGACACATTAGACATTCGAGGTTCTAGTATGTCCCTTGTACCAGGAGCGGATGGATTACATTTCAATTTATTATTTTTGGAAAAGGAAGATCAAATTTTAAAAAATGGGGTTAGAGACCAGACAATTCCTGGCGGACGAGTTGCACGTTCATCGAGGAAGGACAAATCAGACCTTTCGCGTCGCTATAATATGATATTTTACCATTCCTGGGAGCCTTGTGATTATACTCCCTCTCTCTCTCCCTCTCTCTCTCCCCCTCTCTCCCTCTCTCTCTCCCCCTCTCTCCTTCTCTGTGTGCTTAGCCGAATGAGCCGATGATTCGTTCCCTGTTTGGCGAAGGGGGAGTGAATTCATGACCTCTTCAGTCCCCGTGGTCTGTACACGCTTCAAAATCATATTCTCCCAACCCCTTCCCAAATCGCTTCCACCTCATGAATCAATTCGCAGTCGTCCTCTGAATTCGCACTAATTCGCGTGAGAATTGACATTTTTGGGGATCTTGGGGATTTTTGACACGAACATGGGAATCACCCGGCTGATTCTGGTCGCAATTCTGATCCTCGCCGCCCTGTGGGAAAGCGTCGGCGCCAACGCCTGCGACGAAGGGAGCGAAGCCTGCGCCTCCTCGTGCAAGAGTCGGGGTTGCGAGGCGGGAGATTGCGTCGGCAACGTTTGTCACTCCCGTCAGTGCAAGGCTGGGAGATGCAGACCTTGCTGCGACTGCTGCGGTTGGGGTCCGTCGACGTGCGGCATCTGCTGTCCATTCCGGTTTCGATGGGGGAATACCACCATGAAGAATCTTCAAGTATGAAATATTTTGGCATGAGACGCTGCTCAGTTCCCGAATTATTTTTATTTTTTTCCAAGTTCGAATGTCCCCGTAGCCTCCGGTCGCTCGAACCCTCTCGGAGCTGCCCCCCAATAAATTTGAGATGATCTCGAAACCCCCAAAATTTCGCAGTTGCGCGATTCACTCTGCACGACACGACTCAGCCTGTCGTCCGAGAGCCGTATTCGATCATTGCAGGTCTCCGGGCAATTTGGATTTCCAGCTGGAAATTTTTCATTAGAAATAACTGGAAAAGAAGACATCTTCGTGCAACACGCCGAAGAATTCTCAATGGATTTAATCGAAAATAGCGATCAACCAATTACGAGCATCAATAACGGTCGGTGAATCCGCTGACTGTGACCCCAAAACGTCTTGCTTTTTCGCGCGATCGGTGGATCGCGCCGCAAAAACTTTCTAAACTTGCCCACCTTTCCCGCGGCAATTTGAGAGCAGCACCAAAATTCACGTGTATCGGATAGAGCACTAAATGAATGCTGCAGACTTACCCGTAGCACTGTCGTGAATCAGCGAAGGGACGGGGAACAAGAAAATATTATGATATGAAGATGACTGCCCGCAGTTGCCACAGCAACACCGTCAGTTGCCGAAAATGCCTGCGCTCTCATTGTTGCTTGTGAACACTTCGTTTGGGAAGACATTCATCGCAATGTCATTCTTATCGCCAAAATTAGGCTCACACGCCCTGCAATGTCAGTACGGTATTGTCTTTTAGATTTTGACTAATTAAGCACCGCCTCCAGGTCATAAACTTCCGTTAGACATCTCATGCACTTGTACATGGCCGAGAGACATCCGGACATCGGATTCGCGAAGCCCATCCCGAAGGAAGAGTTTCTTACATTTAGTTGACTGGGGATTTTCAAGGGTTTCAGATTTCGCGATATACGTTTAATTAAATAAAAAAAACTTCCACTTTTGAAGTTCAATTTCTCCGGAACTTAAAGGCATAGGACGGCGAAATTTTAGGGAGGATGCTCACAATATTTTAAAATATTTTCTTTTCGATCCTACTTCTTCTTCGATCCTTTCTATTTTTCGGCTGTCATGAATTGTACCCTCGTCTGGGAACGACTCCGCCTCTCTCCATTTCGAATTTTGGAAACCCCACGACGCCTGCTTCGGGGAGCATGCTCCAAAAACTGCCTGGAGAGAGCACCATCGATGAGAGCGTCCGAATCTTCATTGATCCATTGGGCATGCACAGTAAATCTGTAAATCCCAACGTCTTTCTATGTATTAGGCCGTAAATATTCGGGGTGATTCTAATGCATGGGCGCGATGCAAGCGGATCCATATGAAATGAGAAGATAGAGGAGCAAAATTCCTTCATTCACGAATGCGGTTGACCCAATGAAAAAAGGTCGTTTGCATTTCCACATCAGGGATCTGTTTGATTGCTGAGGTAGACATTTGCGGAAATGAGGAAAAACGTGTCCAGAGTCCATTCCTCGCGTATGGACTCCATGAAACGGCTGTGCAAATGCATCGCGTTAATGGGCTCCGACATTTCGTTCGAGTCATCGGGGCAACAGATGCAAAGGGATCGGGGCATGCGAACACCGCGTTCCTGGTCCCGTTAGACTGCTTTATAGCAGATGAAATTCCGTTGCAAAGCGACTCGAGGTGTCCAACTACTGCACGGTACTCTCCCCTGTTATTTGCAGGGAATTTGCATTCACGCGCATGTATATAAGGCTCCGAAGGGCATATTGCATTCTTCGACGTTCTTGTCTCTCGACTCAGCCACCCTCTCAAGCAGCACCTAACATGGAATCCGCACGGAATACTCGTTGAATCGGCATCCGGCAGTCGAGCATGCATTTGATCAACGTTGAATCATTCTCACGCGACACCGGGGCTGGCACACATGCGATACCGGGGCTGGCACACATGCGACACCGGGGCTGGCACACATGCGATACCGGGGCTGCCACGCAATCCCTCCGAACCGGTTAAATCGCCACGACCCTCTCCACCTCATCAAGCGACGATGGCGATCTCTCGACCAGAAGAAACGGTCGGGGGTCGAGGTCCTCTTTTTTTCTTGCCTTGACCGGTCAGAAAGGAAAAAAAGAAATCAGATTCCGAGCTGACAAAATACTACTCATAGAAGGTGAATTTATGGATGCCTGGAGAGTTTTTTTTTATGTGCTACTCTTAGGTCCTCCTTCCACTGGGCTGTCGAAAAGTTTGTGCAGACCAAGAATGTCCAATGAGTGAGAAAATCTAAGTAAAAAGTACCTGCTTTAAATGTTTTTGAGCATTTCGTGTAATAGTCCAATTTGATGATTTTTCACATCAGTCCTGCGTCCCACCCAACAGGAAAAAAAAACTATTAAATGCTAAAGTTACTTTTAAGGGGATTCAATTCACTCAACAACTGTTATTTCTTTTGCTCTGGAATCTCATGTTGAGACATATCTGCATTTAAGGCCAGACCTGATTGGTTACTAATTACCTTTCGCGAAACAATGTTACCAAATCACTAAAGATACGCAATCTATGCCCGAAATTGCTCTCATCTGCTTCCAGAAAGTATAAGTTTCTCACCTCGACAAACTTGGGATTCTGATGCGGTCTCACTCCTCGGATGGCAGGACAAGGCCTCTTGCGGTTGCTTTTCATCGTGAGACGCTTACCAGCATCACTTCGATTCTTGGTGATCATCAGATATACAAATTCTCCAGATGGCAAAAAGTACACGTACTTTGCACTCATTTCGTAAACTTTACACCTTTAAAATAAACATAAAATATTTTTGACTAATTCAATCGGAGTTCATGTCATACTGGAAATCATATGTAAATGGTTGGAATTTGAGTAATTTTAGTACTCATGCACACGTTTGGCAGACGTGAAGGAGCGCAATAAAATTACTTGAAAATTTGGCCATGATTAGGGTCCACTGTCAGCATTGAGAGAAATTATTCTCCAAGAACTACAGCTAGTTCTCTTGATTTACCTTCAATCACTGTGAATACACGATAATAAAAAAATATTCATGTTCATCCTGAATAGTGCTCCTTCACATCTTCCCAAACGTGTACATGAGTACTTAAAGAACGACACTCCTGACTTCAATTGAGAAAAATCAGTGTTTGACAGAGATTTTCAGGGCCTGGCATTTAATCATTTCCTTGCCCCTCACATGACTGTCCACGGCGACAGGGGGCCCTTTTGCTCAAGCAAGGGCAGGAAATGAGAAATATACATCGACTACAAGAAGTGGAAAGTGTCGAGCATTCGTACCACTACAGGCAAGATGATGAAGCTTACCGTGCAGCATCGTAGTGCGTTGATTCGCTGTTATTACCGAAATGGAAATTCTGTAGCCGTACTCCTTTACAGTACTCATTCACATATACGACCACATCACTCCTTCAAAGGTTATAACCAAAATATGTCAAATGGTTACAAGTCACCATCTAAATTTGTTTGACCATATCTCTTGAATAGGCTCACGGACGGAGCTAGCACTTGGCAGAGAGGCTCATGGGCCTATAAGGAATATTTCTCCTACCCGAAAAGTGTCATGGCACGCACACAGGGGGCACTACGGACGACTACAGTACTTCTATCGACATGCGGTGCCATCCTGCGGTATAGGAAAAAATCTGGAATCAAGAACCTCTGTTAAATATCAGCTAAATCCGAGCGTTCAGTGAAAGGTTATAACTAATTCATATGGTGTGGTGCCTTCATATTGACTGTACATGGATCTTATGCAGGGTCAACCCGAAGAGGTAGAATACGACTATTTCACGTTGTATTATCGGTCCACTTAATTTGACATTATAACCGGATTATTGTGGAATATCCCGCGTGGAGGAACCTGCATGCAAGCCACTCGCTGAACTCGTCCATTTTCACCCAGCGGAAATTGCTATCACATCCTTTGCGGGATGCCCTCCATGTGATTTCCGTTTCTCTTGGTCTCCCCACTTCTTTCCGTTCATCATCAAGCCAGCTGCACCGTCGTGCAGTTCGAAGTTATTTGACGCCCGGTTATTTCACGTTAACGACTACTTGAGGTAAACAACATAAAATAAAGAACTGTTCTGTACTTAAGTACAAACTATAAAACTACAAAATTAAGTAATATTTGATGTGTACCTATATTTCACCGAGTTTTATGTTTTAAAAATATCAATAATGATTTCTGCAATTTATGAAGAATCGTTGTTTCCCTCACATATGCTAAATTAACATAAGAAGACCTTCCTAATGTGCAGCCCCTTTTCCCATTATCATAGATATCTCAGTACGAACATACGGAAGGGTGATGGCGGAAGGCATGGAGATAATTAGTCAGAAGAAGACAAGGGTGACGCGGTCCGGCGTCGGCATCGGTCGGGTTAGAGTCCATCACACTGTCGTTCAGAGTGCAGAGACACTGTCATACATATTGGATCAGTATTGGCCAGCGTCTGGTCCGTGCGTGCTTCTTCCTGTTCATGGCCATTCCTCAAAAAGTTTTCATGCCTACTCTTACAAGAAGATAAGGAGAATCCTTGTGGCTTGTTCTTGTAAGACAAAATGTGAACTCGAAGAGGTGACCTAGCGATCGCCAAGTTTTACGACCATATACACGTCTACTCAATTGTAAGGTTGATGATAGGCAAAGGCCTATGTCATCTGTCTTCCTATTTACGTAGATAGGCAAACATTCCAAAGCTTGTCTCAAGCTGGATATGCCCCAATTGTATCAGCCTTCTGTCCCCTCTCATTGAGTGAAGCTTGTGCATTTTTAGCTCCGCCCTCAACACTCATCACTTTTTTAATCAGGTCGTTCTTAACCTTTTTTAAATTGTTATTTTTTTATTATCCCATCAATACAGTAGGAATTTACTTTTCAACTAAGTGTTATATGCAGTGGCTCTTCATGATTTTTATGCATCATTATCATAATGTCCATAGGTGGTAAATTATTTTCCATGTGTCAGTCATATGTGATCGTGATATGGAATTCTCCTGAAATTTCCGTAGAGCCGTGTGTATGTCGTTCTTTCAAATCTGCAAGACTTTGGAATTCTCATGAAAATGACTTTTAAAAGAAATGAACAGGGATGTCCATGGAGTCATGACGTATTGTTACCAATAATTTAAAGAAAAATTAGGAGAACTTGAAAATATGTATTTAAAGTCTGTTGCAAATAACCGTCAATGAGAACACATTTTATTCGAATCAAATTTCCATTGTCAAATTTTCTCGCTTTTTCATTTCCTGGAAATAGTCTGTCTTAAATTCAGAGCGTGATTCATCGCATCCTTTGATATTGCATGACTTCTAAGAACAGCAGTAATGTAATGAGTCTTCTACTAAAGGACTTCAGATTGCGCTCACTTCCTTCTGAGTTCGCATTTCAGGATGTCATCCATCCGCATCCTTCGAGATAGTGCCTCGAGTTTCCAGGATGTCCCTTCAGTGTTATGTGCAACCATGAGACTCCATATGACCAGCGGACCAGTTTGTATCTCTATGAAAAATAAATAGTTATAATAAACCATATGCGTTCGTCTTAGTTTAATAGATAAAGCAATAGCTGCATCTATCACATCAAGTCGGCAAAACGCCAAATATATATGAATAAATTAACATGGGTACAAGTCTCCATATTTGAAATAATCGATATGAACTTTTTTCCCTGCCTCTTAAGCTTTTTCAACGCTTTGGTTCAATAGTTCCCCCTTCCCACCTCAATATGAGTCCAATGCTTTTTTTGCATAAGTTCCATGAGTATTGCATGCATTTGCACAACAGGAACAGAACGAGTAAGAAATATTTTAAAATTCATTCGAAATTCTTTCGTGAGAGGGGTAATTTTTAGCAATGAAAGCCAACATTTCAATGTGTCACTAACGTTCACGGTATTTGGAGGTTCGTTCGCCTGCCACAAGAAACAGGCTTGCCTAAACGGAGAAGTCTAATCCAAGGCGTACCCATTTTGACTTTTTCATTAAGTTTCATAGAATTATGAAATAATCCTCCATTCGAACAGATTTCTTCATCATCCTGACTTGAATCCATCAAAGAGAGAATCTCTCTATCGTGAATTGTGTCATGTCTTTCTCCTATGGTGGCTTTCAGAATGATGATGTCACCAATTACCTTTTTCTACCTACCTCTTTTCCCCTTGGTGGTCGGTGTATCTAAGCCGGGATGTCCCGCCCAGGACATATTGTTTTGCAATTACTGTGCTAATATTTTTAATGATAACGAAATACAAATGGATTGTTCCAGAGTTGGATCGTACGAGGAAATAGCAGTATCGTTGAAGAATGTACCGTGGCCATCAACTGGCATCTGGTGAGAGAAATATATTTGCTCCAAAATTGTCTGCTGGATGGTTCCATTTCAAGTAAGGGAGTATGAAAATTATAGCACAGTCATTATTTTCTACTGGCTTTAAGGAAAAGGATATGTCAAATCCAATATGTTCCCTAACGAAGTAATGAGCTGCACCGCTTCCTTCAGCAATGTAACTAAAATTATGTTGGAGTGAAAAATGATGAGAGTGGAGGACTCCAGTAATAGCTTCGTTCCGACCCTTTTTTCCATGCACTCCTACATATATGGCACTGAACTAAATTCTACATCGAAATGCAAGTATTCCTTTTATGTGGCATGAAGAATCCTATTTCTTCAACATTTCCTTTCTCATAAAAAATATGCAAATCCAAAAGAAGAGGTATTGCAGGTTTTGGTGAACTAAATGCTATTTAAGAAATTAACTCGCAATATTTCTTAGACTAAAACATTTCTTGATATCTTAAGGAGAACACAGCAATAATTTCAATCATGGTTATATACTTTCGCTGACTACCTCTGCTTTTTTTCGTAAAAATGGGCAAAAAAAAATTATTTTTCTTTTTGCCTCATAACTAAATTTCATTATTTTCCCTCTGATCGAGAATGGCATGATCTTCTATCTAGTGCATTGCTTTGTTCCTCGAACATTTCATAATTTCTTTCGTAAGGCAGGACATGCGGCGAACACAAACGACAACGCAAGTATGATGTTACGAAGGGAGGAAGTGGATACCGCTTGGCACCACACCCAAATAACAGTTTTCAGGGTGGGACACGCCTCAACAGTCCTATAAGAGGTCATAAGGGCAGCTAATGGGTTAATTAAAACCGTGACTGGCACGAGTGGTTCTGATGGTGCATTGCACCAGTATCTATGGTACATACATGACGACCGACAGATGCCTGTTTGACCGTACTTTGTCTGGTGAACTACTCCCAAGTCTCTCAACCGATTTTCATCAGCGATAGCTCATTGGATTCCGAATTCTGTGTAGTGTGCCATCTCATTTTAGATTTGAATTCTGGGTTGACCTTTGACATGACCCGGATGACCATACATATTAATTATGAACCAAAATTCCAATGTAATTCGAAAGCCCTTGACCTCCCATGTTTGAAATCGTTTTTATAGTAAAAAATGTTGGCTTTTGATCCTGCAGTGGTCTATTTCTTTTGGAAAGTGCACTTGCGCCATCTCTGTTCAATCCAGATAGCTGCTTTAAGACTATCATTCGGCACGGACACTTGAATTCTCATCGAAGCTCACATTTCTTTTTAGTTGTACTGATAATTGTTGTTCCCCTCACACGCGGGACTATTATCATATCGGCTATTGGCATTAGTACACATTTTCCTA